TGGTCTGCCGAGCTTTTTACCGGCACGGTCGCGCGAAGGAGTTCTCGGCATGGATTGCCCTGGTCGCTGAGAGGCAAGGCGACCACAGCCCACTGGATGACCGGCGGCTGGCGAAGCGAGTACAACACGCACTCGGCGGATGTGTGCGGTGAGTAGTTCTTGATTCTTGCACGCTTGCCATTTTCTTGTTCCTCGGCTCAGGCGATAATGAGTGAAGTCTGCCAGCAGTAGGATCCGGTGGAGGTGCTTGGAGCTCGGAGAAGTCAGTAACTTTACTCTCGCGGAGGACGAGATCTGTATGTGGACTGTAGCAGAATGCGTTACAATCTCGGTCGCGGGGTATAGCGAAGCCGCGGTCCTGATGCCTCTACGTTGGGGAAATTATAGTTGGCTGCAAGGCTTGGATGGCTGCAAAAGAAACAAGGAAGAGAATGATTAAGTACAGAACATCAAGAAAGTGTATTAACCGAGATAATTTGCATGGCTTACATGTCTCCCAATTTTGCTAATCATCCAGCCCGGACCTCGCGTGTCTCGAATTACAGACACCCAAAAAAATCCATCGTCGTAGAGATCCTTGTCTGGTGTGCCGGTCACGATTTCTCTCGCCCGGTCTAATCTTGAATAATAGCGAGACCGTCGCCGATTGCCTAGGGTGTATGGCGCAGGATCTCGGCTAAACCTAGCTAATGCCAAACCGGTTGTTTAGCTCGTGCACGTCGTTTATTATCCGATAAGTTGGTAGACACTTGTGGTGCTAGCCTGGTTCGGCGTAGAACCTGGTGATGAGGTTCAGAGGGAAGCGGTATCCCTTCGACGACCAACAGCACGGTGAAGGGGCATTGTTCTGTTCTACCCAAGGCATGTCTCTTCTTCTGCGAGCTTCCAGGTGGACATCGGCCGGGACGCCGTACTCCTCCCTAAAAGCAGCTAGCGCGGCCGATATCCACTAGAAGCGAATTTCCCCATTTGTGGCCGACTTAGTATCCTGGCTGAGGGTTTGGCACTAGTAATTGGTCTGTTCATCCTGAGAGCCTCAGGAATAACATGGTCCCCTTGGACTCTATAGGAAAGGATGGCAAGTGTAAGGTGAGGCTCGCGCAAAAGGAGCTGGACTTTAGCTCGGCTATTAAGAGTGCCAAACCACTCGTTATCTATTCTAACTAAGGAGCCCGGTCGCCAAGCAGACCAGATGTTAGCCCGGTTGAGCGACCAAGTCCTTTTGTTATCTCAGTTTTTGCGGTGTGAGACAAACATGTTATTTGCTCGGTCAGATTGGTTTTGATCAAAAAAGACCAGGAGCTCGGTTCGCCCCAGTTCTTCAGTGTTCTTCAGGAAGATGAAGAACACCAAGAAACAGTGGGAGGTTTGGGACGGTTTCTATGTCTATGCCCTAAGAGCTACGTTTTTGTACCCTAATGTGTGTAATATGAAAAAAATAGCAACTCAAGAGGATCGAAGGTCTTACCTGTGAAGGCAGGAGCGGTTCTTCAATCACGAAGAATGACAGTCGAGGCTGAGAGGAAATGGCTTGAGCTCTGAAGCGTCAGATGAAAAGAAGCAGTAGAAGAAATTGTATAAGGGGTCTTGTATATGTAGGAACGAGAGGCCGCCAAATTCAAATTCTGGGCAAAAACGGCGGGTTGGCTGCTCGATGACCAATGGCAGCCCGCCACGTGTTCCCCATTTATGGCGACGTCAGGACTTGGAGCGACGGTTGAAGAGTCGAAGAGCCAACCGAGCTACTTTCGAAGTAAAGGATGTCAGCCGAGAGTATAACCGGCAAGTTTGCAGACATTATGTTAACTAGCCCGTCGAGGTTGCATCTTGAAGACCGGAGAAATGTTATCTCGGTCGAAGTGAGTAATCCAGTCACGCTTTCCGGCACGAATTAAGGGTCAATTGAGAGGGTGATTTATGATCTGGAGTTGGGCCGTGGTAATGGTCGAGCAGGTTGAGAGCCCAACGGTGCATGGGGCCGAGATGATCGACTATCCGCCCAGAGATGGCTGCCAGAACTTGGGCCGAGCAGAACTTGGGCCGAGTGTGTGCTGCCCCAGACCGTAAAGAAGTTGCTCGGCAAGGCAGTGCTCGGTCGGACCAAGCTGCTCGATCAGGGGATGGCCGAAGCCAGACAAGCTGAGTGACCGGCGCCCGGAAAGGCGTGGTCAGCCGAGGTAACTATTTGACCGGCAGAAAGGCCGACCACAGGAGGTGCCTCGGGCTAGGCTTTGCCGAGATGCCGCCTAGCCCGGTCCTCCTTGGTCTTAGCCAGTGAAGTGCTTGGGTATGAAGCACGGCACGGCACAGCAACGGATAGAGCAGCTCGGCTGCCGAGCTCCAGCTGTGATGGCAGGCAGTTGAGATTAGGTGATGTTCAGCAAGATTTATGCAGACAGATGGGATAGCGGAGCCACGTGTCAGGAGATGACTGGGAGTAGATATGGGGCACAGAGGGTCTATAAGCATGTCTGCGCCCCCCATATGCGACAGATGAACACTTTGTAAGGAATTTCTTACACTTAAACTCCTCTCTCCCTCTTTCTCCCTATCTTAAGGTGTGTGCTAACTTGACCGTCGGAGGGTTTTTCCGGCCACACACCGCCGGGTAGCTCACCATTATTTGCGCGCAGGTGATCGGACATAAACGGAGCTTGGAAGAAAGAAGTACGGGCTTGCCGGAATATTTGCTCCCCGTACAGTAACTTTCAAGTAATCTGTAACCAAAATCTTTTATGCTTGCAGTGGATCTAAAGGGATTCATAAGACCTTGTATGGATTCCGCAATAATATTAATAAGATGCTTTATAGCTTAATATCAAATCAAATTTTGTTCCCTCTACCAAACCGAAAAATATTACACTAACAACGCCAAAATTCCAATTACATAGCAATTGCAGCATATTTTAGAAAATCCAGATTTATGGCAATGAACGTTCAAAAATGATTCGAGATGCCAAAAGTTTTCATTATATGGTATCTGCACACAAACGAACGCTAGCATGTTGCTCAAGTGCTTCCTTCACACAGTGAGAGATGCACCATTGTCTGCCATTGTAAGCTCATAAAATGCAAAAAATAGCAACAGGAAAATATAAAATAGCAATTTGTTAGATGATTAGTCTAGAAGCTCTACTGGGATAATTTAACGGTTTTAATTGTTAGGGACAGGGAAGAAGTATGAGAGGGTCGCAGCAGGAGGCATTGCTGTGTAAAAGGATCCAAGGTTCTCCGTGACAAGGTTGATCTTTTTTGGTGTAATGGCCAGTGTATCTTCAAGCTTTTCCAGTCAAGCTTGAAGATTGGAGCACACGGCTTCACATTAACGACATACAGTAAATGCAAGCCGTGGTTTCTCACTTTTACGATTTGCTTTTTTTGCATGTCGTAAATAATTTTCCAACCACGACGTGCCTATTGTGTAGGTCGTGAATGCTAATAACGATGATTGTTTTACGACTTGCAATGTTAGCCGTAAATAATAAAACTTTTTATGACGTGCATATGACATGCCGTTAATACATCAACTATATACGGCCCACATATGCCAGACGTTAAACATATTTCACTTTTCACGGTGCACAAAATGCCAGCCGTTAAAAAATACACTTTCCACGACACACATATGCTAGCCGTTAAAAATATTTAAGTTGAAAATTTAGGGTTTTTATTTGGGGGTTTTGATCGAAAAATTAAGGCTCTGTTTGGTAAGCGTTTTGAATTATAGTTCCACTCATTGATTTGAGTGTGTTGTTTGTTTTGAGCTTTCAAATTATAATTCTACACTCATTTCTTAAAAATCAATTCAAAACATAATCATTACTTTTCAAAACTCATAACCAAACACATAATTCAAAACTTTTTTCAAAACACAATTCAAATCAATATTTTAATTTTTTAAGTATTTTAAATATTTAAAAAATATTTTAATTTTGTTAAGATTTTAAATATTTTAATATTTAAATATATTACGATTTTTTTAATTTTTTAATTTTTTGAATATTTTTAAATATTTTAATTTCAAAATATTACAATTTTAATTTTTAAAATTTTAAAATATTTTATAAAAATAAATTCAAACTCTATTTTATAAAAATATTTTTAAATATTTTAATTTTGTTAAGATTTTAAATATTTTAATATTTAAATATATTACGATTTTTTTAATTTTTTAATTTTTTGAATATTTTTAAATATTTTAATTTCAAAATATTAGGATTTTAATTTTTTAAAATTTTAAATATTTTATAAAAATAAATTCAAACTCTATTTTATAAAAATATTTTTAAATATTTTAATTTTTTTGTTATGTATTTGGTTACGATTTGAGTGTAAAGTTGCGAAAATAGTATAGAGTTTCGAATTATATGTTGGTTATGAGTTTTAAAAATAATTTCTTAATTGAGTTTTTTTTTTTTTTTTTTATGTGTTTAGTTACGATTTGAGTGTAGAGTTGTTTTTAAATTTAAAATATTAACATTTTAAATTATTTAAATTTTTTGAATATTTATTTTAATTTTTTTCTTATTAAATTTTTTATATTATTTAAATATTTATGATTTAAATTTTTTGAATATTTATTTTGGAAAAAAATTATTTCCTTTGTAGTATTTTCAATTAAAAAATTGATTACTGTTATTTTCTGTTAATAATAAATTTATTTAATTAAATTTTAAAAAGAGTTTGGTTATGAGTGTTGATCAAAATTTTCAATAGTGTGAAAATAGTGTGTTTTGTTATGAGTTATAATAATTTGAATTAAGTTTTAAAAATTCTTTTCAAAACTCATAACAAAACAAATTTTCTTACTTCACATGTCAAATCAAACTTTCAAAACTTAATTCTACGCTCAATTCAACACTCTATTCAAAAATCATAACCAAACAAATTTTCTACACTCAAATCATAATTTCACAACTCACAAGCTCAAAATACATCTCATACTCTCAAATCATATTTACAAAATTATTTACAAAATTATACCAAACGCAACCTAAGATTTTGTTGCCATTGCCAAATTTTTAGGTAATTTTGATTTTTACTTATAATGGTTCCTATTTTACTTTGACCATTCTTTTTGTGCTAGGTTTTTGCTGAAAAGAAAATTCAGATCAAGTGATACTCTTCCTTGTTTTCATGGTGGATTTGTAGTTGGGCTAATCTGTTTTGCATTGTCTTGAAAATATTTCAAGTAATTGAATACAGTTAAAATGATTGGAAAAGTGTTTGGTTCGTTCGATTATGTATTCTAATTTTTGTAACAGCATATTTATGATACAAAGAAAGTGATCAAACGTTTGATAAAATATGGGTCATTTTCTATTGTATATAGAGTATTATTTATTTTGTCAGAAAAAGATGAGATCAATGCCTATTAGTAGCTCAAACTGGCTCAAATTCTGTTGTGTTTTCAAAGCATCCATCTTTGTCATTTTTTAAATTTAAAGAATTTTTAATGCTTGTTTTATAAGAAGTTGTTGAAAAGGCCAGTTTTTTAAAGCTGCAATTCGGACTAGTCTGGTTCAAGACTTAAGCTGCTTTGCTAGTTTATGTGAAAACACTTCCAGCTCTGATTTTTGTTTACAGTTGCTCGCTACATTTGGATTCTTATTAGCTAATGTATTTTATTTTATTGTGTTATATATGTAAATTTAATGATATCAGTTCTGATTTTTGTCTCTGTGATGTTTGCACATGTTTTTATGTATCTAATTATTAACATATACCCAAAATTGTGAGTCTATATCAAGATGATTTGTGTTATGTGTATGATGATTGCTTGTCTTTGTTTCTCTTTGTTGTCTTTGGCTAGTTATGTTTGTGTATCTGTGTTTGCTTAGGTATCTCTATATATCTTTATTTTGTTTCTACTGTCCAGCAGAGAAGAAAACTATATACATGTTATTTATGCCTCCTAGGTGCTTGTTAAAATGCTACCAAGAGTGGTTGGCTCTTACTATACTTTTATATTGTTTTCTTGTGAGTTTTTGTTTTAAATATCTATCTATCTATATATATATATATAAAGTAAATGGCTATATTTGAAACTTGTCAGTTCTATATGAGAAATCACCAAGGAGATGAAAAGTTTGGTGAGACAAAAATGTTATATATAACTGCCCTTACAAAAAAAATTCTGGATTTTTTTTTTGAAGAAAAAAATTTTGGTTATTTAAAAATAAAATAAAAATTAAAAAACGAATTCTAGAATGTATGCTAAAATGACAATAACATTGGGCACAAGTAGATATCAGTACGTTTGTATTTGGCAGCAATGTTTCAAACAATTTCTGAAAGTTATGTGAGAAAGACAATGGGTCACTGAATCATGAGTTTTGGCCTATTGATTATCACCACTATGTAGTTTGAGGTTGTGGTTCAACTTCTATGGAGAAGAGTTCAATTGGGTTATATGTAGTTTTTCTTATGATTGTAATTGAGTTTGGAGATTGTTGGGCTTTTAAACTTCAAATAGATGTGTATTAAATTAACAAAAAATAATAAATTTTGTTTTCTCTAATTTCCTTGTTCAACTGTTATTGGAAATTTGGAATTTAGTTATGATCTCATAGTGCGCAATATGTGGAGTGGAGCTTTCGGGTATGAGACCAACTGTTTATATTTCTTTCTTTTGGTTGTTTTATTGATAGGGTAACTTTTATGTGAATTTGATAAAAAAAATTCTTTTAAGAACTCTTTTTTCCATTCAACATAATTAATATTTTCGTTTAACACAGTTTTGGCACCCAGTTGGCCCCCTCATCCACAAATATGGTGAGAGGATTGTTTATGACTCTGGAATTGATGCACAGACTACTGTTTCTAGCATTATTAGGGACCAAACCTGGCAGTGGCCTGGTACTCAGACTTGGGAACTTACTAAGATTAGGAATTCTAGCCTTAGGGATATGGTGCCTTCTGATAGGAAAGACTAGCCAATTTGGACTCCTTCAAATGGTCTCTTCTCTGTTCACTCTGCTTGGGATTTGTTTAGAATTCATAAGCCTAGAGTGACTTGGCATAAGCTTATCTGGTTTAAGTCCCATATTCCTAGATTAGTACTGTGGTTTGGATGGCTATCCTTGGTGGATTGAATACCCTTGATAGATTGGTTGTATATGGGGTTATGAGTTCTGCTCAGTGTGTGTTGTGTCACCATTAGGATGAGGATTATGAGTTCTGCTCTGTTACATAAATGTAATATGCATTGGCAAGCTATGAATTGGGGTAGTTGTGTGGACTGGTTATCTGGGCAATTCTCTGGTCATTCTTTGGCCACTGCACTACTGCTAGGAAATTAATGTTTACTAGTACGGCTTACTGTATCTGGCAGGAGAGAAGTGCTAGGATCTTCTTATCTGTTTGTACTCCTACTAATATGATTGTAAGAAAAGTTGAATCTCTGGTTAGGTGCAGGCTCTTGTCTGTTAACAATTTCAAGGAGGATGGGGATAATGATTGGTTTATGGACTCATGGCATCTTCCTCATACAGTGTTGAGGGCACATGCTCTTTGAGCTGTTTGTACTCGTACTTCCAGTGTCTCTATATATATTGCTGTGTGTTTGGATCTTCCTCTTGCAGGTCTCCTAGATCAGTCCTTTGGAGTTGCCTCATTTTCCCCTTTGTATTCACAACTTTGTTGGTACTTAGGGATGTTGTGGTTTGAGTGATTGTGAACCTTCACAGTTAGTATTGTAATGGCAATTATTGAGAGTGAGTGTTGAGAGCCTATATATGAGTGGTGAGGCTCTATAGCTAGGTTTTTGTGGGTCGAGTGATGGTGAGCCATATAGTTTATCCAATTCTTTTCTGTAGGTTGTCAAGCTGGTCCTAATTGTAAGGGAGTTTTTTTGTTGAGGGTTGAGTGATTGGTTAGCCCTCATAAATTTTTTTGAAGTGATGTGTGTTGCATCTTGAGGGTTAAATGATTGAGGACTATAATTGTTTCTATGGGTCTACTCTACCCAGTCTTGCTGTCTGTTTGTAATGAATATTTGTCACTGTGTCCTTGCTGAGTTGTTACACACAGGTTATTGTATTTGTTCAACCCCCACATAGGTCTATAATATGTGGTGATTGAACAGGCTTTTATTAGTTCAAGTGTACATCTGCATTTGTCTTGGGGTTGGTCTTAGCAGAAGCCTGTTGTAATGGACCATGCTGCTGTTGGTTGCTGTTCTGCTAGCTGTGGTATATGCTGAATTGCTGCTGTTGAGTTGAAATTTGTGTAGTTCATGTGTAGATGCTGCCCATGGATGGGTGTATGGTTCTCTGCTGGTTGATGAGTCTGTGGCTCCACTTGTGTAGCTTTGTTGGTGCTGCTGTCTGTTGTCTGTTGTCTGTTGTCTGCTGTCATGCTGACTGGTCTTAGCTGTGTTTGTGGTTCATGCTGCCATGGTGTTGCTGCTATATTTCCTTCCCTGTAGCAGTGTTGTCTTCTTTATAGTGCATGCTCTGGTGCTGTCTGTGGTTGCTTTCTTCTTGCATTTCTGAACTGTATGCTGCCTGACCTCTGTTTTGTTACTGTTTGTTGCTGTCTTCCTGCCAGTAAGAGGTGGCTGATATGCTTGGTTGGTGCAGCAAATTGTGCTAGTTTTTTGAGTGGGCTCTGTTTTTTGCTGATCCTAATGGACTTAGTTTGTATTATGGGCACAAGAGTTGGATACTATTGAAACAAGCAAATCTGATTTGGACATATATTTGGAAGAAGGCCTTTACATTTGTAAACGGAATTTAGATGTTGATTTTGATGCTTTAGATTGGTGGAAGGCAAACACTCTCAAGTTTCACATTCTATCAAACATGGCGCGTGACCTATTATCAATTCCTATCAGCACTTTAGCTTCTGAATCTGCTTTTAGTGCTAGGGGACGAGTTCTAGATCCATATCGAAGCTCTTTGAAATTGGAAATAGTGCAAGCTCTAATTTGTGGAGTGGATTGGCTATGTTCGAATTTTGGAGTGAATAAACCATTGGAGGTGTGTGCAATTTACTAGTCTATATCTACATATGCTTTTCAATTTGATGTAGTTATATCAATTTTTTAACCTCTGATTGTTATTATTCTCTCTTAGTGTAATGAAGAGTCCATGCAAGAAGTATGCTTAGAGTAGTTCTAAGGGTACTGTAAGTATGACTTTATTCTTGTTAATTTACTATAAAGTATGTAAATATTTTGATCCTTTTTATTTTGTTTCTTTTCTTTTTGATAGATTCAAAAATGATTGATGATTGTTGCTCGATTTTCTTCTAATTTTTTTGTTTTATTCATTTGTTAATTTGTGATTATTTAGTGGGGTTTAGTTCTTTCTTTCATATTTGGGTTCCTTTTTCTTTTCTTCTCTTTTTTTGGACTGCAGTTTCCTCTTGGGAAGTTATTTATTGGTGGAATTTCATGGGACACAAATGAAGATCGTTTGAAGGAGTATTTAATGGCTATGGGGAAGTTTTGGAAGCAGTCGTGGTTTTGGTTTTGTTGTCTTTGCCGACCTGGTAGTTGCAGAGAGAGTCATTAAGGAGAAACACGACATTGATGGCAAGATAGTAAGATGGTCTAGAATTTCTCAATTTATTGTTGATGTTATCTTCATACACTAGTCCGGATTTATCGAGTTTTGTTGTTTTTTAGAATGTAGGCAATTTAATCTTAATTTAAACTAAAATTGCTTATTGTCTTTTTGAAAGACAATTGTTGAATGATTAGGATGTATAGATAATTGCTGAATATTTATAATTTATGGATATAGTTTCTTTTTAATGTTTTACATAATGTTTTGATGGTTGATTGATGTTTTGTGGTGTTTGTTTGTAATATTTGTTAGATTGTACAAAATTGGTCAAATAGAACCTGCTGAATTTAAAAATAAATAAATAAACACATATTCTACGGCAAGCATAATAAGTCGTTGTATTACATATTTTACGGCGTGCAATCAGCGTCATTATTTGTCTCACCAATTAACGGCATGCAAAAGTAATCGTAGAAAAAGTAACAATGACGCACAAAATTTGCCGTTAAATAGTTTTTAACGACGTACTATAGCATGTCATAAAAAAGTAACAACGACGCACAAAATCTGCCGTTAAACAGTTTTTAACAGCATACGAAGCATGTCGTTGAAAGTGAACGACTTTTCATGACTGGTCATAATATGACGCGCGCTGCACGTCGTAGAAGGGTTTTTACGACGTGCATTGTGCGCCGTAAAAACTTTTTTTTGTTGTAGGAATTATCATAAATCAGTGACATAAAAAGATTTTAGTAGAGAACTATTCGTAACTACATTGTTCCTCCTTTAGATTTGTATTTATCAGTTAGCCTACTTTGGATGTGTTGTGGGCCTCTGCTTTGGATGTATTTTTCTGCGGGTTGTGCAGTTCTCTAATTTTAGTGTCTTGTTAGGCCCTTTGACTAGCTTCAATGCTGCTATTTTGCACCTTGAGGAGGTGAATGGAGATTTTGTTTTGCTCTATTATGGTCTGTTCTTGGTCCTATCCATCTTTGATGGGGTTTTGAACAGGGCAATTAGATTTTTGTAGTAGCCTCTGATTTCTCTTAGGTTTATTTTGTATTTGTTTAGTTAGCTAGTTACTCGTGTGCTTCTGCGGCTTTGTATAGTTTGGTAGGTCCTGGGGTATGTCCCTTGTAATCTTGTATTTGCCCGTTTTGTTGTTTTATTTTATGACTTATTCACCCCAAAAAAAAACGACATTGTTCCTTTGCATCGGATGTTCAGCATCAGACTTTTGATGTGCAACTTTTACTGTGGCTCAAGCAATTTAGGATTGTTCTTGAGAATAGACCACCTGCCCTCTAAAAATGGGTTTGCAAAATCATTGGACATTGTACAAGTGGAGTTACTTTGCACCAGATGTTCAGAATTTTTCTTTGATATGATTTTATATTTGATATTCTACCAAAAAAGGGCAATGTTCAAGGAAATTGGTATAACCAGCAAATTGATATTACTGCCAAGTAACTGGAAAAAAAAGCACAAAAATAATTTTCAAGTAGTTGTCTGATCTTTCAATATAAGTTTTAGATCTTTGATTTCAATCAACAAAAAATATCAAATTCACAAATGATTGCTAGGCAGCTTTACTGAGGTTGATGCTCTTCTTTTAATTAAATCCAAAATCTCAATTTCAACATAGCCACAGTTAGAATTTCTTGCATTGATATGAATGATATTGAAAATAATATGCAAGAAATTTTATATATACCATAATTGAAATAAGACAGCTTTCTAGAAGATGTAGATGAGGTGTTGTAATGTAAAACATATGAGAAAAAGAACAGAAATAAATACCATGATTCCAGTGTCTGGTATAAATCAGCTGAACTGCCAAAGCATGACACAAGCATGTCCGTGGTTATCACACCTGGATTGAGTGCAACAATTGCCATTCCACTATGTAACTCTTTTGCTGCTGACCTCTACCGCCCATTTTGAAGCACAATAAGGTGCAACCTGTCAATATTTAATTAGTTCCAGGAACACATCAATACTGAGGAAATTTAAAGTGAGCTGAACAAAAGATTTTCAGAGGACAAATACGGTTATCACAACACCAAATTACCCAAGTTGTCTTCAATCTATACTCAAAATGCAAAACTCTGAATTCATTGATGGTTCCACATTTCCCTTTGGTGGAGAACACAAAAATATGAAATAAACTCGTAATCTAGGGTCAACTAAAATGCAAAATTTCTTAGTTCTACTTGAATAATCATCACAGTGACTCATCGAAAAGCAGATAATAACCAACCTCACTGCAAAACCATTGTTTTCATTAACCATAGCCTTATGTCTTTATCAAATGGACAAGATATTAAATAAAATTTCATGCAGCACAAGCTGCACAACTATCATCAAGAACCATAATTGCAACGAGGAACAAAGTTAAACAACATTTATCTCTGACACAGACAGAATATCAAGGTTTGCGCACACAGAACAATAACAATAAAAAAGAACAAATTTTTGGGATAAAAGTACAACTCATCGAAAAGCAGATAATAACCAACCTCACTGCAAAACCATTGTTTTCATTAACCATAGCCTTATGTCTTTATCAAATGGACAAGATATTAAATAAAATTTCATGCAGCACAAGCTGCACAACTATCATCAAGAACCATAATTGCAACGAGGAACAAATTTAAACAACATTTATCTCTGACACAGACAGAATATCAAGGTTTGCGCACACAGAACAATAACAATAAAAAAGAACAATTTTTTGGGATAAAAGTACACTGGCAACTTTTTATGTCATACCTGTGTAAGAAGGAAAAACAAAATGGTAAGCAAAAAGCAGTTGCTTCATTAGTACCTGTCAGTGTCATCCTTGTAGTTTGGGTCGTCATTGGTGTCGTTGTTGTAGTGAATTGAATCACAATGGGAGCTCGAATACTGGCGAGAATGTATCTGCATCCACTAAGGTTGTCACTAGCGCATTTGTGCACCTACTGATTTCAAGGATGTATGCATGAACAGCCATAGCAATGTCGCCAAGAATGAAAGCGCTTAAAAAAAGACTACATTGTAGCTGCAATTCTGCTGCAGCGGAAGACTGCAAAGAGTTATTGCAATATGCCATCCATGAGCTTCAACAGTCGTTCTCGATGGCGGGTGATAGCGACTTGTACACCATCAATGACCGTCTATTTGAAATTTTGAACTGGTTCACCGCTGCGATCTCATACCAACAAACATGCCTTCACCAAGACGATTTCTGCTGACGTTGTAGCAACCCGAAAAAGCGCCAAGGCAGATGGATCATCTAGGCCTCTTTTGATTATTTTAGTAGATTAGAATATTTGTATTTGAATAGGGAATTGGACTTTTTTACAATTAAATGTGATGTTTGCGAGAGAAATAATGAAATAATTATGAATTTAATTTGATATTTTATTTTGTTAATTATTTTAACTTATTTTATTTTTTATAAATTTTAGCTAAAAAAAAGTAAATTACAAATACATTCGTTGAGATTTGATTAAAATATAAATCGTCTCTGTAATTTTTAAAATTACATTCCACCCCCTGAAATTTGTAATTTTATAACAAATAGTACATTTTATTAATAAATCATCAAGTTAATTAACAGTTTTTAATGATATTAAAAATATGTTTTAATTAATAATTTAAGTAATTTTATTATTGTATAACATAACAATTATGAATTTTATTTTTTTAGTAAGTTAAATAAAAAATTCTAATAAGATAATATTTATAATTTTTTAAACTACAAAAACAATCTGTATTTTAAATAAATCTTAAAAAATATATTTATAATTTATATAAATAAATAAAAAAAAAAAAATCTAAAGTTGGCTTCCCAAACACTCCTATGTTAAGGCTGGGGTGGGGTCTCCTACGGGGCTGTCATTGTACCCGAAAAGAAATTGGACGTATTCATGTACGGAGATGGGCCAAAGAGGACAATTGTTACCGGATCCAAAAGCGACCACATAAGTGAAGTCTCACTCAAGCTGACGGTGACGGCCACCTTTAAGTTCACCCATCCATCTATATTGTTAAATTAATATATATCTATATAATAAGTAACCAAGATTTTTGAAAATGTTTAAAATATATGAGGGGTACATTTTATTTGAATGGCTCATATGAATTTTAAATATATATCAATGGTTTAGATTAATAGGCAGTTCCCACCCAACACATTTCATTTGATTTGTTTGTGTCTCCCTCAGTATCTACCCTTTGTCTCCTCATACTCTTTGTCTACCATCTGCCTTCTCATACTCTTTATCTATCTTCCCTCTCTATCTCCCTCTCTGTCTACCGTTTGTTTCCCCATTCCTACTCTGCACTGACTCTCCCCTCAATATTTATCTTCCCTCTCTATCTCCCTCTCTGTCTACCATCTGTCTCCCCATTGCTGAATTCCTTGCTCTGTTTCAATCTTCTAGGTGTGTTTTTGGGTTTACCCACATTGGAAAACTCCTACAGATTTATTGTTGGTGTGATGTATGTTGTGTGTGTAAATTATCTTATTGTATTGGGTTTGGATTTTGAATGATATAGATATTGAGTTATACGGGTGATATTGAGTTATACGGTTTGGATTTTGTATTGGGTGTGTGCAAATTTGGATTAGACGGGTGATATGCATTTTATTATGGTGTCTTCTGGATGTGTGCAGATTTGGATTAATGCTAGATTTGGCAAAGATACACCGTGTAACAGAAAAGAAATTCTGCACAGATTTGGATTAATGATATAGATATATGGAAAAGAAATTCTGCAAATCAGACAAATGATATATATATGCAGTTATGGGGATTATATCAAACAAATCTATAGTTATTGAATTCTGCACAGACCAATATATAGTTATTGAATGATATAGATATATGGAAAAGTATTTTTAACTGTTGGGTTCAATAGTGCTATTGAAAACATGATTTTAACCAATTCAGTATTACTATTTAGTGTTGAAAATATGACTTTAATTGCTGGGTTCAAGAGAATTGATTCGGGAAATTGAAAACATGACTTTTGTATTCTCTCATTTTTATCTTAATTGAAAACATGACTTTAGTATTCTCTCATTCATTTGGGTAATTGTTCTTCTTCTTAAATTTTTTTTTTCCTCTCTCAGCTTTTGCCTTCATCAGAGCTTCTGTGGATCACTCTGACCACTCTCTCCGTTG